TTGTTTTATGTGCATAGGGAACAATTCAGTAGAAGACTGATACTCATCTGCAGTGAAACCTGCAGACAGACAAGAGACTGGGTAAACTTTGCAAGGTGAAAAAAGTAGAAAACTTTTTATCACTTTTTTTAAAGGGAAAGATTCTGATTGAGTGAGCAAAACAGTGTATACCTGTGAGTTGCTAAAGCAGCTGTATCAATGTGTTCACTTGCAAGTCTTTCCACAGCTTCATAGGCTGTTTTCTTTTTTTGTGTGCTGAAGATGTAGTTAAGCTATGTCTGGCCTTTATTCAGCAAAGATTTAAGCACATACTTGGAATTAAACACTTCATTCCAGATTTCACTTTGTGCACTCTCAGATATTTGCTTCTGCTCTCATACTGTGGAGTGTCTCTGGTGAATATTCTGAGACTGGGACAGTTTTTTCATTATGGTATATTTTTTTCTTTCAGTCCTGCTATCTTTTTAGAAAACAGCTGTATTCTCCAACTTAATTGAATTCACAAATTAAATCCCAATTGCCTCTGTAATTTATTGCTCAAACTCTTCTTTTTCCTCTGCTGCTTTTCTTCACATAGGATCTTGCTTTTACTCCTAAGAAAAATAGATACCATATTCTCTTCCTTCTGTCCTTTCTCCTCCACTGTCAGAGCAGCAGAAGTTTCTTGTCTACTTTCCATCTGTACCCCCTCCACTTGCCCCAGCGACCTCATGTTCTGTTCTTCCTCTTACTTCTTCCCTCCCTTACTCTCTTTCTTAACCTCTCGCTGTCCTCTGGCTCTTTTCCACTTGCAATATAAGCAAGCATTTGCCTCTTAAAAATTGCACCTTTGACCCTACTTGGTTCTTCATATCATATCTCATCGCCTATCTCTTCTTCATTCCTAAGCTCATTGAAGGCGCTGTTTATAATTACTGTCTGGAGACCCTCTTCTGTGATTCCCTCCTATAACTCCTACACTTTGGCTTCTGTTCCTTGCTTGCAACTGCAACAGCTCTCACCAAACTCCCTGATGACAAGATCTCGGAAACAGTAGTCTATCCTCATTCTTCTTGATTTGTCTGCAGTTGACCAGACTATTCCTTTAACTTGTGTCTTCTATTGCTCTCTGTGGCTCTGTCTTGGTAATTTTCTTCTTTCCAAGTAGTTCTGCAGAATGCCCTTCAAAGTTGTTTCCCATGTTGGACTAATGTGGGTGGAGGTCCTGGGGCTCTGATTTGATTGCATTTTAATGCCCTATGGGTTCTTTTGTTCCCAAATATTAAAGAAAACTATAACAGCCAAATTTATAGATAACAAATAAATAGCTTTGTGTTGAAACCTATTTCCTCACACATTCACTTAATGGTTTATAAACACACAAGTGCAATTACAAAGCCTTCCATTCAGCACTGCCTTAATTCTAGATATACTGGCAAGTACTCAGACCAGGCACATGATTATCTTTGCTCTTTCACACAGACATGCATGTTTCCTCCTTTCACGTGCTCTGTGTTCCCCCACTAGCAGTACTCAGTGCTTGCCTGCATATGTTCCAGCTTGCATGTAGTTTTCTGCAACTTCCTATAAGAATACAGCAAGACCTTTTCAACAAGAATTCTACAGGGCTTCATCTTAGGCCCTGTGTTCTGCAACATCTTCATAAATGACTTGGACATAGGACTGGAAGGTATACTAAGCAAGTTTGCAAATGATACAAAACTGTGAGGAACTGTCAGCTCCCTTGAAAGCAGGGAAGCCCTGCAGAGAGACATTGACAAGTTAGAGGGCTGGGCGATCACCAGCCATATGAAGGGATTGTGCCAGGTTCTGCACCTGGGATGGGGCAACCCTGGATGTATGGACAGCCTGGGGAGTGAGATGCTGGAAAGCAGTGCCCCAGAAAGAGACCTGGAGGTCCTGGTTGATGGCAAGTTGAATATGAGCCAGCAGTGCCATGGCAGCCCAAGCAGGGCTAGCCCTGTTCTGGGGACATCAGGCCCAGCATGGCCAGCTGGACAAGGGAGGGGATTGTCCTGCTCTGCTCTGCACTGGTGCAGCCTCACCTCGAGTGCTGAAGGCAGGTCTGGGTGCCACAATATAAAAAAGATATTTGTGAGCATTCAAAGAAGGGAAACAAAGATGGTGAAGGGCCTGGAGGGGAAGCTGTATGAGGAGCAGCTGAGGGCACTTGGTCTGTTCAGCCTGGAGGACACTGAAGGGAGACCTCACTGCAGTTACAGCTTCTTGTGAGGGGAGGAGGAGGGGCAGGCACTGATCTCTTCTCTGTGGTGACAGTGACAGGACTCAAGGAAATGACATGGAGTTGAGTCAGGGGAGGTTTAGGTTGGATATCAGGAGAAGGTTCCTCACCCAGAGGGTGGTTGGGCACTGGAACAGGCTCCCCAGGGAGGTGATCAGAGCACCAAGCCTGACAGAGTTTGAGAAGCATTTGGACAATGTTCTCAGGCACATGAGGTGACTCTTGGGGATGGTGCTGTGCAGGGTCCAGGAGCTGGACTTGGTGATCTTTGTGAGTCTCTTCCAGCTCAGCTTATTTTGTGATTCTGTCTGCTATTTTATGTCCTCTATTAAAAATGCTTATCCTGATACATGTCTGGAGTGCACTTTACTCTTTTATAGCTACATTTTAAGTATTTTGCTTTCAAATTGAATGTTATCACCACATCTCTACTTTTTATTCCAACTCATTAAATGAAAATATTAGAAAAAATTCTGCCAAGCTCATTCTTGATGAACTCTACTGAAAATTTGTTTTTTTCATTCTCTACAGGACTTCGTTGTCTCTCTGGAAGAAAGTTCTTTTCCTGTCAAATTCTTTCAGTAATCCCTATTTTCTCCAGTTTAATATTGAATATCAGATGCCCAGATAGATTACGTCTACCATACTTTCCTTGTTTAAAATGTCAGTTAAGTCACAATGGTGTAAGTATGCAGAGAGTTCATAATCTCAAACAGATTTGTGTATTGTAGTAGGCAGATTCCTCAGGTCACCACATACTTTCATACCCCAGCAGGCCCAGCTGAATTATGTGAGCTCAGGCAAGTTACTGCTCTCTGGTGTGAACCACTGGGAGTATTCTGTTGTTCTCTAGATACCTTTTGGCCGGCTTTTACTTTTGTTTGTCCTACTCCATTCCAGATGTCATTCATGCCACATTATCACTACCAAATACTTGTCTTCTTGATCTATGTAGCTTTTAGGAACCTGTTAAGATATGTAAGTAAAGGGAACATGTTCACACACTTATTAGATGTTTTGCATTTACTTTGTACTGTTCTTAATCACTTTGCAAAACGTACTGTGTCTGATATTGAAAATAATTTCAGTAGGTGTATGCAGTCACTAGCTCAAGGCGCTGTAGTATTATGTAAAAAGGAATCCTTTGGGTCTGAAATCCTTCATGCTTAGTTTCATTTGAAAAACTGTATGCATAATAAAAATTAAGGAAATTATCCTTCATTGCTTTTGAGTTATGTGTCACTGAAAATCGGGACAGTGTTCAACTGTTAACAGTAGCTACATTTTTATCTTTAATGTAGATATGAAAATACAGAACTTTAGAATTTAAACAGTGACATCTAAATTGGGGCTGATAGTTAATGAATTCTGTGGCCAAGTTTCAAAAACCTGGTTTTCATAATGACATTGAAATCATGCCTAGTAGGCATCTGGATTAGAATTATGAGCAGGATGTAATGGACCCAACCACTTTTGTGGAAACCAAATTCATTTCCATTTCTTTGTCAGAGCTCATCAAGCTCTTTTTAGATTTAAGGTTTGCTTCATTCTTACCATTAATTCTAGTGAGCCAGCACCATGCTTTCATATAAGGGATGAAATATACACTATGCATTAAAATGTGGAATTTTTTTTCGCAATTTGTTTTTGCGTGTTACTGATCCTAATTTCACATTCTATCAATCAGTTTCTCCTTCAACTGCAAAGAAACAATACATCCTTTACCCCACGGACCTTGACTACGTACAAACTGGCATCTGTTCAATCCCTTTTGCATTATACAGTGTATAATTTTACATTATATTCTTCAGTGTTGAGTGAAAGGGAATGATGGGAGATCGATGAAGGCTCTTGTTCTCTTTTTAAGCAGTTGAGCAACCTCCCACTGGGACTGGGGCTCTGCAGGCCTCTGAATCTGTTGTAAATCCTTTTACAGTCACACTTTCGATTTTGACTGGATGTTTCTGGTTAGTTTAACCATATTCCTGATCAATTTAAGATACACAGTTAGAAGTTTAATTAGAATTTCATGGCTCTTAATTATCATTAAAAAGAGGAAATTTAAACTGAATTCTATGCTAATAGAACATTTGGGCTGAACAACGGAAGTTTGGTTGTGGCTTTCAGTTTTTATTCTTTGTGGATCCCATAGCTGCTGAGGGACACAGTTTGGCTTCTCAGTTTCTTCTTGTCCCAAGGCATACCTAAATTACAGCTTGCAATGGAGCTATACTTCTTATGGGGCACTGGGACAGAAATGCCAGAACAGAGAGACAGAGTGAAAGCTTCCTCATTCACCACAGTTCTGATGAGATGATGGGGTTGTTGGAAGTAGTCTGTGTCCATGGTTGCTCACTATGATCTGGGTAGGTAGTACAAGGAAGAAAGTGACATCTTCTTCTGAATACTTTGGGAAAGCAAGGCAAGGCGAAGTTTGAGCTGGCTCTTGCAACTTCAGAAGGAAATACCGATAAAAACCGAATCTCCTACAACATTGTAAACTTGACCGAATTGCCAGTCTTTTACAATTCATGACATACTGAGCATAATTAAAGCTATGCATCGCTATTCCATGATCTGAAAGGAGAATTGATAAACCTTCTGTTTACATATGATGTAACTTTAACTTTCATTCAAATCTTTATTCTACATTGACTGGTTTATATGTTCAAAATTATATTTAACATATTTTTTTGATGTAACATGGCTGAATACAGATGTATATAAACCAGAACATTTTGTGTTCTTTTTGTTACAGGTATGTGTCCTGTGCGTTGGGATGCCCATATGAAGGAAATGTTGTACCAGATAAAGTGGCAGAAGTAAGAGTGAATTTCTGGCTTGTTTTTTTTAATGAACCAAAAATACATTTTAAAATGTCTATAATTAATTTTCTCTACCTAATCATAAAAAAGGTCTTTAATGGATAAATTTCAAGGAAAACAAGCAAAAATCCTAGCTAATGCTAAAACTTGGTGCATAACTTCACTTAACCATATACAGTTAAATGTGAGAAAAATAGTATATTTTGATTGCTATCAGTCATGAGAAAAAGCATGCACTATTTCATCTAGAAAGAAAGTAAGAAATTACTTAAGGAAATAGACTCAAGCACATATTCAGTGGACAGTTGTACAAGAGGGTTTCCAGCACAGTTTCTTGCTTTTAAATCCATTTCATGCTGGAATAAACACACAGTGCTTCAGGTGAGGGTCATGTGATCGACACATGACACGACTCATCCCCAATATAATTTCTTAAATTGCTCTAGTGCCATGATGGAATAAGTTGCATCTTTCTTCCCTGTCCCTTTTTTTCCCATTTAGAATAAAGGATAAGGAAGTTCTCTTAGTCCAGCCTTTTTTCCAGAAGAGAAATGAGTGAAACACAAGTATAAAATTTTTCAGGAGGGCAAAGAGGGCATCAAAGCTTAAATGGAGAGGTAAAAAAGAAAGTGGAGTAAAAATTCCAAGAGGCTTAAGGCAGGACATGTTGGCCTTCCACCTAGAGACAAACTTGTCTTCTCTGTTACACTTAATCACCTATTTTTGTTGATCTAGCAGAATATCCAAACCATTATTTTTTAATTTGTAGCACTAGCAGCTAGTCAACATTTATCTGATATTTATCTGTGTGGGTGGTTTTCAAGTCCTGTTCTCCAGATCCTGTTCTCCTGCATCTTCTTCTAGTATACACTCCAGATGAAATTTGTGATAATACTTCTCCCACACCATCCACACATACTCAGAGTCTTTCAGAAAAAAAAAAAAAAAAGAAAACAGAAAAGCTAATTTGGAAGGTGCCCAGTATTTCTAAATTTATTGCTTTAATATGAAGTGAGGGATAGAAATGACACAGCTTTAGTTAGAGCAGTGATGACATACTGCTTACCATGTTCCCCAACAGGCTTCTTTCCATGTGTTGCTTGTTTTTTACTGACTCTCCTTGCACAGAAGAGATCCTTCTCAGTATACCGCTGGGATTGCTGTTTAATGTTCCAGACCTGCAAAATTTTACTCACACAGCTATTTTATTCTCTATATTCATCCTAATGTATTCTTGCATACCTGTATACCACTGTGTATATGTTCATGAATAAAAGCTACTGCATTAAATTTATTAATTCCATCCCTGATTCAGCAAATTCTGCTGTGTATATAGAAGCATCTAGTGTATTTTATGTAAATACATGCACAGAATCAGCATTATCATAATTACTGGCTGAGTTGCTGAACTTCAGAGTGCTGCTGCTCTGGTCATCATCTTATTGGGATGTGAGCATTTTGACTCTCTGTGCAATCAGCAGCTATGATTGAAAGATTTAGGCAGTTTCTACTGCAGCCAGTAACAGTGGCCATTTTTATATTTTTTTAAACAAAAGATTTTTTTAACTGAAGCAAAAGCAGTTAGAAGAGGTGGATTATTTTAAACTACATGTATTATTACAGATTGTCACAGACTACATTAATTTCTAGCATACTAGATACATAACTACACATAGTAATCTAGTGAGTGCAAAATTCAGATGCCTTCAGACTTGTAGAATTTAACAGGTATATTTGTATGGTTCTTTAAAATAAACAAACAAGCAAACCGTTTTCATATCCTAAAATAAATTGCCTAGTCTTATTACTCTACTGATTCTTGAATGGAAGTCACTGTTTAACCATTTGTCATTTTGTGGTTTGAGTCACTGCTTAACCATTTATCATTTTGCAGTTCAACTTTAGGCATATAAAGCTTGAAAGTTGTTGGAAACACTGTATAACATCCTTGAAGCCAGTTGTATAATCCATTATCATATAATTCCATCATATCCTTGGCTGTTTTTATCTTTCTGCCTGCTTATTTCTTACCTTGGCTTCCTTTTAACCTAAAGCAGTGAATTAAGTAGATTAAATATTATCCAGGACACATTCTGATCAAATTATAGAAAATGTATCTACTCTTGTTTGAATATTGTTGCATCAATAAAGTTTCCCTTACAGCACAAGAACTGCAGGTTTTTTAGATTGTTTGTTGCATTAAATAGATTTATATAAATAAATCTATATATATAGATTAATAATAATCTGTATAAATAGATCTACACAAATAAATCTATAACTGGATTATCAGCTTTCATATTGAATATAAGAGTATAGTTTTAGATATTGTTTCCAGGAGTAGGACTGTTCACGTGCTTAAGATGTTGCAGTGCTGCTTCCCCAGTTCCCATTTTGATCAATACTTGGTGTCGAGGGGACAAGGTTCCCAAGGGGAGTAGCACAAGACTCATGCATAGCAAAACTGCTCAATGCTGCAGAGCACAACCTTGTTTAATCAACAAAGCTGCAAGCTCATAATCACATCCTGATTACATAGAAAAAACAGTGTGTTCTCCCACACTCTCCTCCCAAAAATCCACATTGAAAACTTATAAAACTATAACTAAGAAGCTGCCTTTTACTATGGTAGAATAGAAAATTCAGTACAAAAAACTCCCATTCAGCTTCCAAGCATACTTATTCTTCTTTAAATTAAATATATATCTCTTTTCAAGGATCATGTTAAGTTTAGATCATGACACATCAGTGATGATGCTCATCTTGTTAACAGCTTCACACTCTCTTCTTCCATCTTTCAGAACTCTGCATTCAGGAAGCTGAAAGGCCTAAGGACTGAGCATGAAAAAAGTAAATGCAGTATGATTTCTTGCAGTTTATATAGCTTATGACTTTAAGTTATGACTAAGATGCTCATCTAGAAAAACTTTGAATCATGCATTAAAAAGAACAGGGGAAAAAATGCAGTACATTTCTTTGCCCTGATCTTAAAGAAACACTAAGGTTTGGAGTTAAACTGAATGTAATTCACCACTAACTGCAGATGATCCTTTTTTTTTTCTTTACAAAAGTAGTCTAGTTTAAATGCCTGCTATATTTTGATGATATAAAAATATCATCAAAATATATGGCATCAAAATTTCTGTGAGCTGAATCCTTTGCATTCCAGTGAATGTCCCTTTCTTAAAATGTATGTTGAATTTATGTGTGTATGAATCAGGTAATCTGAGTTTAAAGCACAGTTTTACCACATTTGCAATAGTCATAACACTTCCAAGCCTTAAGCAGGATGATTCAGACCATTTGAAGTTCTTTTTCAGCTGTTTGAATTAAGTGAACAGCAATATTAATCCAGCACTTCCGAGACTGCTGGTGCAGCACTTTGTCCACTTCCTCAGACATACTTGCAGCAATCCCACCGATGAAGTCCTGGAATTGTTTTAACAGCAGACTCCAGTGTGACATAAGATGTCTTTCTGGAACAGGGTTGTACTTTTTCGTTTCTAAACAGTTAGTTTCTAAACTGGGATTCCGTTCCAGTGGAGTGGTCTTTTGGGATCTTTCATACGCAGTGGGGAATTCTGAAGGGGACAAATGTACTGAGCAGCTGAAAATAAGGTGGAGTCATTCCAAATAAATCCAACAAAAATAAGATGGAATGATCCTGCATTCAACTCCTGAAGCAATATTTTCAGTGAAAACATGATTTTGTGCTTCTGAATGTGTTTCTCTCCATGCAAAAATTATGGAGCCAGACCTCAGTTTTCACTCATGCAAAGAACTCCTCAAATATATAATTCCAGAAATATTTAGGGCTCTGCTTACATAAATAAGACCTACTTGTAATAGTTTTGTTTGATATTAAGAATTTTTTTAAAACTTAAGGACTAGAATGTTAATTAAGTTGCAGTTTTACTTTGTTAGTATTTTAATGTTTGATTTCATGAAAAACAAGAAAAATTAATATTGAAAAATTAATGTTGACTGCAGCATGTTAAAATTTCAGTTTCCATTGGATTTTTTAAGTGCTAAGAGAAAAATCAGGATTTTTGTTATTTATTTATTATTTTTGCTGGCTTCATGTAATATGCAAACAAAAGGACAAGTCTTTATCCTGCACAGCTTGTAAGCTGAAAAGTACATGGAGAAAACCAAACAGCTAGGAAGTCCCCAGAGAGAAGAAAATGTTAGGAAAGAGCTTGACAGAAACTTAATTCATAATGTTAAAATCTGGATTCTGTGGGAAAGTCAGAAAGCAAGCTTTTGATGGATTTTACTTGGTCAGCAATTCCATGTACAGAATGTAGCAGAACTGTAATTTTAAAATAAGAGGATCTGTGGAATGTTCTTCTTTGATGGCAGTTTTCAAGAATTAATATAGAGTGTCTGATAGATTGATCCACCTCACTAGGTCAAAACCTAAAACCTGTACAGAAGTATGTCCTCTATAATGTATGTTCTTGACCTCATTTTATACTCTTTTATCTTGACCTCTTGGTGTTTTTCTGTTTCTAATCAGGTATCTAAGCGGCTGTACAGTATGGGCTGTTATGAAATCTCTCTGGGAGATACAATTGGTGTGGGGACACCTGGAAGTATGAAAAAAATGCTGGAAGCTGTTATGAAGGAAATTCCTTTGAGTGCTCTTGCTGTTCACTGTCATGACACGTATGGCCAGGCGTTAGCCAATATCCTCACAGCCATACAGGTGACTTGGTTTCTTATTTTATATATACAATAATAGTATGTTTATTTTAATGCAATGTGCAATTTAAAAAAATTCTGCCATTAAAGAAATCAGTATGAGTAAAAAGGCACTCACTAAACTTCAGCAAAGTATTACTCACACATCAGATTGTCTACTGGTATTATTGCTGTTGCTTTTACCAGTAAATGTTAAACCTTATCTATTAATTGTCGCTCTGTTAGGAACGGCGAGAAGAACGACACAGACTCTCTTGGGAGTCGATCAGGAGAACTTCTCTCGGTTTATTACCTCAGGTCTTTTTTATAGACCAATACGTGAAAGTACAGAAAAGAAACTCTTATTGGCTAGTAAACTAACACATTACCGTCATTGGTCAGTGGGGTACACTACCCCTCGACCTTCTCTTGCAAGAAAACAAGGAACAGACAAACAGCACCTGCAAGGCTGTTTTCTGTCTCTGAGGATTATTTTAATTCCTCCCCATGATTTCCCAGGCCACTTTCTCAGGCAAGACTGAGAAAGCCATGTGGCCTGCAATTTCTACAAGCACCTTGCTCCCTGTTTCACAGTTAGCATCCATAATTAATTACTGTCAATTCCATACAAAATCAATAAGAAACAGTGATGATTATTATATTTAATTGACATTAGATGAAGGAGGGACATTAAATAATTTTTTTCTGGTATCTCACGTTCCAGTTTTCTTATGAACAGCTGTGTATGTTTGTTTTCCACTAAACTAAAATTTCTGCTTTATAGATGTATCTGAAAATAAAATGGAATAATATATAATTACATATTGATTTCAGAAGGATAAATATAAAATAATGGTAGTTATGTACACAGAATAGTCTAGATAATTTTATCACTATTCATATGCCTTCATTATTCTTTTTTTATCAGTTATGCCTTCCAAGTAAGATTAACAACAACTTTATATCCTATGTAATCAGTTTTCAAATCTGTGCCTAAATAATCAGAGTTAATTTCCGTAAGAGGTTTTTTCCCTTATGTTAATGTATTTTTCAGGATTGGACACAATGCAGAAAACAGACTGCAAGTTCTAAGGTAGTTTTTGTGAAGATATAATCCTGGGAAATATACTAATATGCATATGCCTTCCTAAGGAAACTTACTTTTACTAAGCATTACAGAATCAGAAGTTATTTACAAGTTGTAGGCCTTTATTGTTCTATTTTATACTTAATGGCATCTTCTGTTTCCTTGCAATTCAGTCAGTGCTTTTGAAGGTCAAAGTTTCCTTTGTCTGACTTGTTATTTGGGCAGAGCTCATACTATGTTATTTAGATACAATTGTGTTAACAGTATTAGTGGTATTACACCACAAGACAGAACAAGGAAAATTTCAATATGGGAATCCACAGGTATTCTATTAAACAGGGAATGACAAAATCTGGTAAGAAAGGTTCTAACTTTTACTCACAACATTCAGTTTTCACCCTTACTCACTTATACTCTTGCAAATGTGTGTGTATGTACCATGGGATAAATAAATTGCTAATTTCACAGTTAGCTTCAGTTGCAGATGCAATAGCTAAAAGCATGAAACCCCTGAGCATGGGAGGAGTTGGCCATAAAAATACTTGAAGCATTGTTTTTTAAATCCTTCCTTAAAATAATTGCTGTCATGGTGCCTGCTAAACACTGAACAATGGCTATGCTTTGTTAACTCCAGTATTTGTTGTAAGTGATTCTTGTCTCATGTTTACCTCTTGTTCCTATGTTTTTATTTAGTTCTTAAACCAGCTGTGTAAGAGCTGAAGGAAGAAAAAAAAGCCTCTTAGGTACCCAATGTGCAGCTTAGGATAATTAACTTGCAAATTCAAGAGAGAAAAAGATTTAAAAAGAAATTCCTATGCAACTTTCTCAGATTTCTGGGAAGGCAGGGGTGCCTGAGACCCACCAGAAAACTTCCCTCTGTTGTTAAGGTCTCTTACAGTACACGTCTAAAGGTGCAGTGGTTTTGGCTGAGCTGAACTTGTCATAGAGTTTGCCAAAAGTCCTTGATGAAGCAGGCATTACACAGTCTCTGTGACTGGCTTTGTGCAAGCATCTCCTTGGCTCACTTAAAAGAAGGTCCCCAGGTTTTTGGATCTTCAAACAGATCCTGCACCTCCCAGCATCCTCTCTTGTCTCTGGTCAAAAAACCAAGGCAGCTAGCAGTGGATTATAACTCCTTCTAAAGCAATATTCCTTCTAAAACAGGGACTCCTTCTTAGTTGCAGGTTGGCTGTGTGGTGAAGTGCTAAAGCCAGTGGATCAAAGTGCCCAGGTCACTTCTAGTCCTTGCTGTCAGGTTTGCCTGTGCTCTCCTTTCTGCCAGAGATACAGGAATGGCAGAGCACTGGAATAAAAACCCTTGTCTTCAACTCAGCTGCTGTTTCCTAAACCAAACTCCTAGACACAATCTCTTTTCCTTCCCCCTTTATGGGTCTGCGTGACCGACACAATATTTCAGCAAGAGTGAAATGTGTTTGGGGGGTCGTAGAAATAATAGGCTACAGTTATTGCTTGAAAACAAGTTTAAAGAACATTCAGCAGACAAATTACACTCTTCCTAAGACATCACTGAACAACCCCAGGCTGAGTGCTGTTGCATTGTATATTGTATTTCCTAAGAATTAATGAATGACAGCTGGAAAGCCACAAATCACTCTGCACTAATTCAGGCATTGCTTCAATGGGAGATCTCCTAGGAGTGGAAAGAGTTGCTGGTGATTCAGTAAGTGATTTTTTATACAGATCACATTGTTTCATGCAGGATTATGCTACCCAGAATATTTTCTTTCATTTGGGGCTGATCCAAAGTCATCTAGAACTGACAGGCCGTATCTGTATAAGAAATTAGCAGGGCAGTAGTTGCAATTTTAGTATTCAGTTTTATATGTGTTGTTTTAGCAAAGGGATAGGTAGTGAAAGATGGGAGAGTGATTAGCCAACTTTTAAAGCATAAGTAATTTTTTTAACTGCTGAAGCGAATAATACAGATAGAAAGGAAATTTACTTTATTTATGAAAAGAATCTATATGAAAATGTGAGGAACATGAAGTGATGCTTCAAAACAAACCAGTAAACATTTAAAGTAGATACATGCCTGGCTCTTGGTTACATGGCTTAATATAAAACTACCAGAGTATAGAATTTACCAAAGAGACAATTCAGAAGATGGGAAATGATGTGGAGATGTAGTTAGAGGTTATGGTATTTTAAGTAAAATTACATGTGTGGGTTAGCAAATGTGACAAACACATAGTGTAGCTAACAGAAATAGTAAAACATTTATGGGAGATTGTTACAGACCTCCAAGGAAGGGTAAAAACATGGGTTGGGGAACTTCTTTCTGGAGAGGCCCTGGTAAGGTAGGTCATTGATCTAAGGAGATTTGAGTTTCATTGACAATTGACTCCCATTGTGTGTACAGAATAGGTATGGAAGGAAAAGTGTTTAATGGAAGTGTTAAAGAACTCTTTTCCTGTAAAACTTGTGTAGTTGTTAGAAATAGATTTGTCTGTCTTTATAACATATATTCAAACATGAGAAAGAGTATGAGGCAAAGAGGATATTTGTCTGGCTATGATACCTGAATAAAGGAAACAATCACATGATAGTCCAATAGAATATTATCACACTCAAATTGCTATGCTAATTCATTAAAATGAACTGATCCCTGCACTATGAGGATGAAATTCTAACTTAAGGAAAACAAGTATAAAACTGTAATGACTTAGAAAGACCAAGGATTTTTATCACCTTGTTTAATCATGTTCACCTTATTGGACACAATGAGATGAATGCAATTGATTACAAAATGTAACTTCATTTTATTAGTTCTTTCTTTTTCTAGAACAGGAATTTTGAAAAAAAGAATCCCCACTTTAGTACCAGAAACAAAATTTAGCAAGCCTTTAATTAAACTTTCAAGGTTCAGACTGCAAAATCCAGATTTGAGAGTACAGATTTTTATTACAAACATTATAATATATCCTCTTTTAGAGAGCTTAAAATATTTAATGTTTTATGAATTTCTTCAAGATTGTAGAATTTTAAAGATTAAATAAACTTAAGAGAAAAGTAAATCCAAGTAAGAATGGCTGACTGCTGACCTTTTCCCTGCATCACTTAATTAAATTTATTCTAGTCTCTTGGTGCATGCTGGAGATCCTAACTAAACTGAATATTTTTGTGCATCCAGTTTATTTATATAGTAAAATATAAGTTCACTCAAAACCACTCAGTATTGGCCTGGCTGTTTTAACTGCCAGAAGCAGGAAAGGAATCTGAATGTAGGTGCTCAAGTTCATGGTTTATTAATTTACAAGGATCATTTTTTACAGGAATAGAGTTCACAACAGCCAGCAGCATGAAATGGTAGAGCCTAAGTTAAGTGACTAAAAAAACCTTGTGTTTAAAATTCCTTCTTCTGTGATTTACATGAATTTCCATGCAAAACATTAGATGAGATGAATTTTTACACAAAACTATCTCCTAGATGTAGCTGTTCATCTTGTCCTTTTTTTTAATTTTCAAATACAGGATTTGGTTTTTAATAGCTGTTGAGCTTGCTTGAAGTCACAAGCTGTTGTGGCCCCTTTCAGGTGCTGCTGAGATCTCTTGTCCAGGAGCTGCACTGAGTATCTTCAGTGCAGTCTCCCTCTCCCTCATCTGGCAGTGGCTTTAAACCTGAAGCTCTAGTGCTTGGCCCTTGCCTGAGCTACTCTGCAGCAGCATTGCCATTGCACTTGTGTCATCTCGTACCTCCCTGATTCTCATTCTCATCCTCACCTGCCAGCTTGACTTACTGGCTTACCCTCAGACCTGGCTGATCTTGTCTGATCCTGGTTATTGTGTCCAGACCTGATTCCAATGTTGAATCTCTGACTCAACTTCTTGGCTTTGTTTTCTGGTGATGTTGCCACCACTGCAAGTCTTTAACGAAGGGACTGGCAACCAATAACTTGAGCTTTGCTTTTAATGGTAGG